ATTTCAGAAAATTCTGATCAATACAAATGAAAAAATTTCGAAAAAAGGGGTGGACGTATAATTTTGCGTCGCAGTGTATATCCGAGAACATTTTTTGAATTTTTTAATTTTAAAAGTTGTGTAATAAAAGTAATAATTTATTATTAAATAGTTTCTTTAATTATAAAGTGCAAAAAGTTGTTTATCATTCTTAATAAATTTCATTTATCATGTCTTTAAAAATACAAAAAATATTTGTGGGAAAATTTTGTTTATTTAATATTAACAAATAAACTTCAAAAAAAATTTTTGCCGTCGGCTTGACAATTAAATTTTTTCTCATAAGGCCTTACAAAATTCTCAAATTTTTCGCCTCCGGCGGTGTATTTGGGGATATCAAGGAATTTTTGGGGATTAGGAGGGATATCAAGTGATTTTTTTATTATAAAGTACAAATTATTTAGTCTTAATCTCTCAGTCTCGGTTCGGGACTCGGTCAAGCTACAACCAATCATTTGATAATTTGAAGAAAATGAAGGGAAAGAAAAACGAAGGAGAATCTAGCAAAGAATGTCTTTTGACAATTCCTTTGTGGACAGTATACATATTTGCGGAAAGAATGAAGCTGAACATTTACCGAACAAGCTGGAACATTAAAAAATAAAGTGTACTTTCTTTAATTTAAAAAAGTTCTTTAAAAGTTAAAGAAATAATTAATGTAAATATTTATTAAAAAGTTTCACAATTTCTAAATACAAAAAATATTTGTGAGAAATTTTTTAAATTTAAAGTACAGTTCTAATGCTTCGTTAAATTTTGTTTGAAAAAATTAGGGATATAGTGTATGTACATATGTAGTGGTAAAAGTTTTGGCCGAGAAAAAAAAGTAAAAAGTATACTTTTTTCCATGGTGACCATAAGGAGCTAAAACAAACGATCGTAACAAATTTAGAGAGTTTTAAATATAGAAAGGTTGAAAAATAAAAAAACCAACGTCACAGTCTGAGCTTGACAAAATAGATATTATATCTTGCTGGCAAGATGTATGCTTTTAATTAAAGCTTTTTAACAAATATAACATACAATGTTAAAATAAATGATAAATTAAGTTGGATCCAGATTTTAAGATTACATATGTTTATCCGGGGGCGGGTATGTCGGGTACGGGATTTCGGAGTTGTTTCGAGTTCATATAGAAGGCTGTAATTATTGTAAAATATTTCTATTTGTATTTTGACATTAAATAAATAATTACATCTAATACCCGGATCTGGCTCAAAATACCCTGATCAAAACCAACGGATCCCAAAAATCCGAAAGGGATCCGATCCGGGTTTTGACTCTACTATACATACATATTAGATTAAAAAATATTTTCTAAGAATTTATGTATGTATTTGTTAATTTTAAATAAACAAAATTTTCTCACAAATATTTTTTGTACTTCTAAAGACAGGATAAATGAAATTTTAAGAATGATAAACAACTTTTTGTACTTAATAATTAAAGAAAATATTTAATAATAAATTATTACTTTTATTATACTTAAAATTAAGAAATTCAAAAAATGTCCTTGGATATACTTGATATTTTATTTAAATTAGATTATTTTGTTTGTTTATTAATTGGTTTTCCTTTAAATATTCTTCTGATTGTTTTAATTATTTTTAAAACACCAAAAGAAATGAAAACACACAGTCTAATTTTGATACAAAATTGTGTTTTGGATATTTTATTGTTGACTGTTCATTTGTTTTTACAAACGGTAATTCTTCCATTTTTTGCCCACAGATTACATACTAGATGTACTTCTATATTTTTTGTTTTAAATTAAAAATAACGCCAGCTTTTTTACGTTCCCCTATCTTATCGCCTAAAGTAGCCCAAGTATCTATTCAACCACCCAGCAGAGTACGTCCCAGGGTACCGGACGCCCTGTGTCTCGGGCTACCCGAAACCTGATATCTGAAACGACTTTTTTGACCCGAAACCCGACCCAAAACCTGACATTTTTCATGGAATTTTATTTCATAAAAGGAAGAAATCTAGCCTATTGGCCTTCCAAATGTGTTTACAACTTAAAACAAATGCTGCGGAATTTGGGCATGATATCTAGAGATCAAAAGAGTTTAAGGAGGTAGCAGCGGACCAAAAATTAAGAGAAATTTTAGAAAAATAAAAAAAGGAGAAGACAAACTAAACTATTAAATAAATAATTTTTATAATTTAGTTTTATATACTTGATACAGAATGGAATGGAATTGTTATTTTACCTAATGGAATCTTGCTTGATTTTATGAAAGAAAATTTTAATCCATTTATATGTAATGTTGCTTATCTATTTTGGGTATTAATTCTAAGCGTAAATTTATATGGATTGTGTGTTCAATTTATTTATAGATATTTAGTTTTGAATAGGTAAATAAATAAAAAATAATTAAAAACTTTAGTATAATATTTGAGATTACCAACAGGGAGCACTTTGCGTTATTTGTGTTAAGTTTTCGCCTTATTTTGACAAACTTAACGCAAAAATATATCAAATTTGCTGGCAAAAATGGAAGGAATCTGACCTTTTGGGATTACAAAATTCTCACATTTGGCACCTAAAGGGAAGATGGATCCACTTAATCGCTCTGATCCTCTTAATTCTAACAGTTCCTCGATAGCTAATTCTTGGCATCCCTGATAACACCCTCCTTGTCCATGTGTCTAAACTTTTGCTAAACCCTTACTATTGTTTTAGAAATATGAAGATTAGCTTTTGTCGTTATCTATTTATGTTGTCTATTGCTTTGTTTGTGGAATTACTGTATAGTTTGGATGTAATTTTCTTTTTACTTCCATATTCTAATGGAAGTATTAAATATTTTGATAATATTAACAAAACATTGCCATTTATTCAATTTAAAATGGATAAGGTTAATTTAAAAATAAATTTATTTTTTGAATTTTAAAAAAGATGAATGCTTTGTCATTATTACTACCAGCTTTAATTGAAATATCTGCATATTTAATAATATTTATTTGTGGATTTAAAATGGTTAGATATGTCAATTTAAACACTAATTTTGATGGAAATTTAAAAAGATTGAATAAACTTTTAACTAAAGTTTTGATTATTTTGGTAATATACAGAATTTTTATTTTTTTATTATGTATTTTCTCATCTGTGGACTTTTCCTTATTATTTACAAAAAGGAATAAGTTAACTTTTAGATTAACCCATAGTCTCCTACACCATTTAGACCCATCAACGCTTTAGACAGACATCGGTTAGCAGACTAATTAATCCCTATATTTACTCCTAATATTTTTTAGATTGACAGACCAAAAAATTAAAACCAAATACCTAATGTCACCAACATTTTGATAGGGCCTGTTTAGTTGACTAAATATGTAGGGACTAGTAAATAACCCATCTGCCCTTTTTATTTAATATTAAAAATTTTTTTATTTTAAACAGGCTGTTGTACCGTTTATTTACCAAGCTGGGAATTTATTTTTTACAATTTATTCACAAACAACCAACAATACAACAAATATTATTCGAATATTAATTTCCATTTTATATCATTTAATACCTGTATTTAACCCAATTATTTGTATTTTAACAAACACCCCATATCGAAATGCTATTTTTAATCGTTCACAAGTAAATCCACAATAACTAAATAAAAATATTCTTTTATTATTTTAATAAAAATCTACGTATTCATCATCAGTTCTGGGTATTGGGCATTTGTTAACAGTGATGCAGGGGATCATCATCCAAATCCCATTTATTTTCTTAATCCGCTTGTATCCCTCTTAATCCGAAGAAATTCCATGATACGCCCATGATCAATCCGGGCTCCGGGTGGAAAATCAAGGGATAATATTATTTCGGGGGATTTGTGTAGATTATGCGGATATCGAGTGACAACAGAGGAATTAAATGGATATCAAGGGATTAAGCGGGATTTGGGCTGATTATCGTGGGATTTGGATGTATTACGAGCAAAATCTGGGAAATTCGGGAGATTAATTGTGATATCGTCGGATTAGTTATATTGCCGAAAAGTGATCACGAAAGGTGATCACATTGTCGAAAGGTGATCACTTCCCTTTTCGCTCCGCTGGTTTAAATTTTGAGAATTTCTGAAGGCCAAATAGGAACACCCAAGATTCGGAAGGCGAAATCCCTCGCTATATCCTTTCCCTTGAAATATTTGGATGTCACTAAAATCCAGTAATCTCATTCAAATCCTCCGATATACACACCAAACTTCAATTGGACTAATAGTTTCCGATTTTAAATTGCGGCTGAAGCAAGGAAATAAATTATTAAAATTTAAAAATTTTTACTTAAGAAAAATGAAAATTATTTAAGTTACCTGATATCACAAAGAAATTTTTGTTAATATTTTTTTATTAATTACAAACTAGATAAATATTATTTATTTTTATTTCTGCATTTATTTTATCAATTTTCTCTTTACTATAAAAATGATAATAAATTATCAAATAATTATTGTAGTTTATAATTATTTTTCGACATAAATAATTTATTAATTGTAAAGGGTGACCCAAAAGTAATGGGACTTTTGCCTGAAATTATAATAGGAAATTCTTAATTATTTTTGTTCCTTGTTTAATTCTACATATAAGCTTTATTTTTTCGAGTATGTTTTTCTTGATATATTTTTTTCAAACGTTGGCATAGGTCTATTGCAGAATAAGGTTGGCGGATTCGGATATCCTGATCCGAAAAGAGGCCGGATATCCGGAAATTTTTGGTTCTGATCCGGATATCCGAAGATTTCCAACTATCCGTCACCCTTATTGCAGAAACGGTGACTCACGGCATAGATCACCCAGAAAAAATACCAAAAAAACACAAACAACGCAAAAATATCTTTTATGAAGTGCTCTATTATAAACTACAAAATACTTTTTTGATAATTTATTAAAAGTATAAGTATTTAAATAGAAAAACAAATAATAACCTTTAATTAAATTTTATTTTTAATAAGAAAAAAATGTTTTTATTAATATTATTAATAATAACAATATCTTCTCTATTATTATTTTGGACTGCAATAAGGAAAAATAATTATTGGAAAAATAGAGGAATTCGAGGACCGAAACCTTTACTAATAAAAGGAAATATAGATTTAATTTTTGGATATAATAATCCTTTATCTTTACAATTATTTGATTGGAGTAAAAAATATGGAAGGATTTATGGAATTAAAAATGGATGGTTTAATACGTTGGTTATTAGTGAACCAGAAATGGTTAAAGAATTGCTTGTTGATAAATTCGAATATTTTCATGCAAGAGCTGTAAGTTTAAAATTTTAGGAATTGAAAAAATTATATTTTTGTGATTATTCCTCGCATTGTAAAGCATATAGCTATTTAATTCCTAAGGCTATGCAATAGGCGGCGTGGTGTAATGGATGACACATCAGTCCGGTCTACTGAAGATGCTGGTTCGCTCCCAGCCGCCGTTTAAACTTTTGCACTAGCTAAAGGAGAGAAATAGCTATAGCCCGGCTGCTTTACTCCATTTTATCTATGAAATGTAGCTGATTATTATACTTATGATATGGAAAAACCCATTGGATGGGAGCCAAAAAATCCATTTCCGAACACTAGTATAGAACAGATCCTCTTCAAGACAATTTTTACGAGGCATTATTTTAGAGGAAATAGGTTGATTTTAAAATTCTTTATTAAAATTTTGATTTTTTATTTCGTAAAATAAAATGAATTTTAATTTAAAGCTTTGTCCAATTATTGGTGATGTAGACACAAATAAATTAATTCACTTATTTTTCGCTAAAGGAAAACGATGGAAACGACTTCGTTCAATTGCAAATCCGGCATTTTCAATTTCTAATTTAAAAAGAGTAAAGAGACAATTTTTAAAATTTCAAAATTATTTTTAAGGTAATGCCAATAATTGATGATTCTATTAAAATAAATATTAATTTATTAAAAGAAGCATCAAAAGGAAAATTTGTTGATTTACATGAGTGAGTTAATTAAAGAATAACTGAGCGTATGAAGGCATTTTTGGGGCAATAGTATTTTTAATTATATCTTGCCTATCAGTGTTTAGAATCTCATACCATAACTCTTATCAAGTCTATTATGAAAAAATTGAAATCTCGAACACCCACCATACTTTAATTTTTCCTTTCCACCATTCAATCGGTTCGTTCTCGAATTAGTTAATTAGGGGACAGGCCAAAATAACGCGCAGCCATAACTAGCTGAAAAATTTCTGGCCCATATCAATTTTAATACTAATCTATGCAGCTCCTTGAGAGGAATCGTTTAATACTAAAGTTGGTAAGATTAGGGACACTTGAATTGCTTTGTCATGGTCTGTCCCTGTTAATTGTCCCTGTTAATTAAATTAAGTTTAGTTAATTAAAAAATTATTTTTCTATTTTGTTTCAGGAGGAAGTTTCAAATTCCTAGGAACAAATCGAAAATTTTATTTTTCTTAGTTTACTGGGTTTTCTTAGGGAACATTGTTAGTCACGTTAAGTTATGTCGTGGTATCATACCCACATTATATTTCCTATTTTTCTATTTTTATTTCATCTTTTTCCATCATTTTTTGGTATTTTCAATAAAAAAGTAGTAAGTGTCTCAGTCAAAAAATTTATTTTCCAGATATTTCATAGAACTTGCTTTCGATATAATCGTCCGTATTGCAATGGGGCAAAAGGAATCAAAGCAATTTAAATCAGAAAATTGTCAAATGGCTCGAGATTCTGTTATTCAAATTAGCAATAATATTTTTGATTATCTCGCCTTTATATTTCCCTGGCTTGGAGCAAATATACTTGAACCTTTTGTTAAAGCTACAGGAAAATTAAGAGGAGATCCAATATTAATTTTGATGGGAAATATTTATAAAGCTGTTAAACAGAGAAAGGAAGAGAAAATGAAGAGGAATGAAAGGGAAGGAGAAGAAAATGAAGAAAATTTAAAAAATAAAAAATGGGTTGATTTTATTGACCTTTTTTTGGAATCTGAAGCTGAAAATAATGAAGTTGAATTGAAGATGAGTAATGGAACTTATAACAAAAAAGAAAAGGTGATTTGTTTTTAGATGGTTAATAATGACTAGTTTTTTTGGAAATTATTTTATTATGCCTAACTAAAGCTTTATTTCATTTTACGAGTTCTTGGACTCAGAAGATGAAATACATACATATATGTATGTACAACAACTGATGACATTTAGGGTTGTAGTTTTCGAGTCGGGCCGACGGTCGAGTCATTTTTTCGAGCTTCATTTTTATCGAGTCGGGCCGTACGAGTCTTTTTCGGGCCAAATATCTTATGCCCGACTCGATCTTTCGGTCCGAGTCGGTCTATTTTGGCAACACTAGTGACATTGATTAGATTTATCTCCAAGCCAAACTATAACAACAGGAATAGAGCTTAACGTGTTTCCATTCTAGTCCCATAATAATTCTCCTCCCACAATAATGGCCTTTTTAAATGGATTTTAAATAATTTTTTTAGCAAATTAGATCAACAAAATATTTTTTATTTTAACTATTATATGTATAACTTTGACAATAATTTTCATCTTCAGTTTGAACGTTGTAATACTTTAGACGAAATTGTGCTTAATTGTTCTCTTTTTCTTTTGGCTGGATTTGATACAACAGCTAATACTCTAAGTTTAATAGCACACAATTTGGTTATTTATCCCGAGGTTCAGAAACGCTTATTTGAAGAAATTGAGGAAATTTGTGGATTAGATGATGGGGAAATAATTAATTATGAACAATTGGCTAAATTAAAATATGCTGATGCTGTGTTTAAAGAAACACAAAGATTATGCCCAATCGCGACTGAGTTGGTTAATTAAACTGAAAAATTTTGTAAAAATGTTGGAAATTGAATAAATATACCGAACCTACTGTATAACCTGTATTAATTACCCTCTCTCAAATAATTACCCCACTTCTATTAATTACCCCATCCAGCGATAGATTAAAACAATAATTACCCCAAACAAATGCCCTAAGACACGTTAACATTTCCACCCTCGTAATTACCCTCCCTCGATTAATTACCTCCACCGGAAGGTCAAAACAATGATTACCCAGAGTAGTTATTAAAGGATATACGTTAAAAGGAAACTTGCAAGAATTTTCCCTAAGTTCCAGGCCCAATAAACCCTCGTTTTCCGTTTCCTAATTGAAAAATAATTTCTTAAATAAGTAACACTACAAATTTTAAGTGTTGTCAATAGAAGATGTGAAGAGACTACAACCCTTGGAAATATAACAATCGAGAAGGGAACATTTGTTTCAGCCGATTTATTCACTTTACATCGAGATAAAAAAATTTGGGGAGAAGATGCTGAAGAATTTAAACCGGAAAGATGGTTATTAAATGAGAATATAAATACACCTACAGAATATTATTATCCTTTTGGGGGAGGGCCTAGAATTTGTATTGGAATGCGTCTGGCACTAATGGAAATTAAAATGGTTTTAGTTCATTTACTACGTTCTTTTGAATTGGAAAAATGTTCTGAGACAGTGGTGAGAAAATAAAAAAGTAAAAATAAATTAAAAAAATATTTTAGTTAAAACCTAATTTGGCTGGACAAGCTGTATTAAATTCGGGAAAGATTTGTGTAAAACTAAATTTGAGGAAATAAAGAAAATGTAAATTGTGACATTAAACATGAATCACTACTCATTACAAATATTTTTAATTTTGATTTTTTTAAATAAAAATTTCGATGGATCCTTTGGACTTTGGAAGATCCCTAATTTGAGGATTTAGGAATGATGGAGCCAGATTTCTTTAATTTTTAGTGCTCAACCCAGTTTAATCTTTTGATATCTCTCTTAATCTCAATTCACTTTCTGCGCCGCAGACGAAAAGTTTGAGAATTTTAGAATGCCTTAGGAGAAAAAATTCAATTTTTAAAGACAGACGCAAAAAATTTTTTAAAGTTTATTTATTGTCTACGATGTTCATGCTGTGCAAAAATTCATTGGATGGAATATGGGTAATTTTAAGAATAAAGAAATTTTTTTTTTTTTTTTTTTTTTTAAAAAATTTAAATTTTCCTTTAAAATTTCCCTACATGTTTATGACCTATTCAAAAAAATTAGATAAAAACTTGGCAAATTTCTTTTTTAACTTTTTAAAATTTCTAATTTTAAATAAATTTAAATTTAAAAAAATTTAAATTAATTAATCAATTATACATTGTCGATTTTTATTCATTGTTTAAATTTGCTTGCCAAAAAATTTTTTAAGAAAGGCAGACATGTGAGTGAAAAGGGAGAGGTAGCATGTGAGTGAAAATTTTTACAACATCCTCTGAAGGAGGTGGAAATTGGGGGAGGGAGGAAGAAGAAAGAGCGAGGGAGGGAGGGAGTAAAGGAAAAAGGGACAGGAAGGAGGTAGGAGGGAGGGAGGGAGGGAAGGAGGGAGGGAAGGAGGGAGGGAGGGAGGGAAGGAAGGAGGTTTTTAATTCTTTAAAAATTTTTATAAATTAATTTGCCTTTCACCAAGAAATATTTTTTTATTTTTTAATTATCTTCACTTCACAGCCAAAAATTCCTTCAGAAAAATCCTCCATCTATTCAAAAATAATTATTTTTGATAATTTGTAAACAATAGACTTTTTAGGTTTTTAATGAAATGAAGCATTTTGCCATAATATTTTTTCTATTTTTTATATTTTCAATTTACAAAAGAAAAATAATTATTGAAGCAAAAGGTAGCCTCCAATTAAATTTTTACGAGTCTAATAAAAATTTTATCTAATGTGAGAACAAAATATATTAAAGGGACATGCAAAATTTTATTAAACGGATAGGGGTTTTCACAACTTTTTAAGTTGGGGCTCTAACTCAGGGAGGGAGGGACCACCGAACCCTTAGAAGTTACCCTCATCACAACATATTTTTCTATAAATATTAAAAATTTCCTAGATAAATTAGATAGTTTGGCAGGATATTATTTAACAACATTCATAAAAGATTTGGAAAATAAAATTGAAATTAACTATAAACTCTATTATGAAAAAACAATTTTAATTTTGGATTCAAAAATAGAGGAAAATATTAAATTAATTCAAAAAAACACTTCTTCCTCCAAGAAAAATAAAAAATCTAAGGGAAAGAATGTTTGTGAGTTAATTTTTATATAATGTGACAAAGATATTTATTTAATTAAAAAATTTTTAAATATGAATTTTTTTAGCAAGTTTATCGATACAAGCGTCCGACACAACTTCTGAACTTGTAGCTGCAAATGAAGAAAACAGGAGATTACGTGATAAAATAAATAGAGTAAACTTTCATTTAAAAATTAAGTTATACTCTAGACTCAATCAGAATAATAGCATTTACTCATTAGTTGTTCCCCGGTAATGTTGAATCCGTTAGACCTCATTTTTTCCTCACCAAACTTTTCCTATATATTTACAGAATGGTCAGACTTTTCCTTTCTTCCATTCCAATTACTATTTCCACTTGATGGAAGAAAGGAAAATTGGAATGGAAGAAGTGAAGAAGTCTCACCATTCTGCAAATATACAGCAAGAAACTTGGCGAGGAAAAAATGGGACTGTCAAGTTCAATATTACCCGTTCCCCTTTTGGTCATTTGGAAAGGATCATCCTTTAATCAAATATAGAAATTTCAAATTCAAATTTTAATATTTTTTAAGGAAATCGAAAATTTTGAGAATATTTCAAAAAAAGAATTAAGTCCTGAATACTCTTCAGAAGACAAAATAATTATAGATAATGAGCGAGATAACATAGAGAATCTTCATATAAATGAAGTAAAAAGGTTGTTAATTGAAGAAAATAAACCTTTAAAAAAATCAACATCGAACGGGTTTGCAAGTGAATTTTATAAATTGAATGATGAAAAAATAAAAAATGTGAAGGCAAGAATGCGAAAATTATTAGGAAATGAAAATATGTTTATTAAGTTGGAAATTGAGTTTCCTGTGCAGATGAGAATTGGTGAGACAAAATATATTTTGGTTATAAAAGATGACATGGCCCTGTCTGAACAGAAGGGTCGAATCGTTTTTCTTCCATCATTTTTTCCTTCCTTAAAAATGATCAGTTTTTCTTTAATACTATAGTTGAATTTTGTGATGTTTGCCGTAAGGGTTGGAGATATATTTTTTTAGATAGGGTCGATGACACTATATTAATTTACTTTAAGACCAAATAAGTTTATTTAATCTGATACAAGATAAATTGAAACCATCGACTTCGGAAGAATCTCAGGGAATATTTCAGGGTTCAGAAATATTTGGAAAAAAATCACTGGGCCAATTCCACCCTGCTTCCTTAAATTTGTTCTGTCACTATCCAAAAAGTGTCAGAAAACATCTGATTCTCAACCTTAACTAATTCAGATTTACTCGATTGGGAATTCAAAACTTATCTCTACAACCGAATTATTCTTAATGATTTAAATGAATATAGAATTGGAAATATAAAAGCTGGGCTGAAAATATCAAAATTATTTGAATATGGTTTAATGAATATTGGAGGATTAAAGGATGAAAATGAAGCTGGAAAAGAAACAGATGATAAAATAAAATCTGAAGAGTCAACAAGTAATGTCAGGGAAACGGAAATAGGTGAAGAAAAGCAACATGAAAAGGTATAGCGTATTACTAAAGACCGGATTCTTATGTTAAAAGTTGGTCGAGGTCAAGATTTTTGAAAAACCGACTCCCAGGATTGGCGAGGCTGCAAAGCCAAGATCAAAATTGAGGGGAAAGTTAGGGTCGAGGTTTGAGGATGTATCTTGTACGGAGAAGGTCTTGGGAATAATTTTCAGTGTAAACCCAAAATTTCATAACGAAGCCAGAATTTTCTAAGTACCGAACTAAATCCCCAAAGATGGGGTGCTAGCTTTGTATATCGAACAATTTAATTTTTGGCTAGCACATTTTCATCCGTCGCAAGCAAAACTTTTGAGAATTTTGGAAATCCAAGTAGTCAATAATCAATCCTCGTTTTATAAATAGGGAAAATCCCAAATCAGGTATAACAAAGTTGCCTGATTTGAATCCGGATTTGTTCCGGAAGTATTTTTCTGGATTTATTTTGTATATTATATTCTATCCATTTTTCAGGCTCCAAAAAAGAGAAAGAAGAAAAAAGAAAAAGATCAAGAAAATAATTGTTTGTCAGAATTTTTTAAACAAGTTTTTGAGTATTTTGAATTTAATTCAAAAAAATGTCAAGAAGAAAAGATTGAAAGTTTTATAAAATTCCTAGGCTTGAGATACTGTGACAAAGAAGGGAAAATAAAACTTAAAGAAGGGGGAAGAGAAAATACTGAAAAGTATTCTGAATCCGTGAATAAAGAATTGGAAAATGGAATAATATTGGATTTGTTAGAAATTCTAAAAAATAATGAGGAATTCCGTAAAGATTATTTGATTGTGAGAGGTGCGAAGAGAAGAATTGTCAAATTTCTACAATTGGAAGAAAATTTAGAAGGAATTTTTGAGGATCCCAACAATAATTTAAATACTTATTCTTTGCTTAAAAATGGTAATAGAATTTAAATATAATTTGTTCCGTGGTGAGCGAAGCGCCTAGCAATAACTGCCGAGAGGTCGCAGGATCGGTGTTGCTCAGGAGTAAATTCATCTCTCTCTTACATATACCGTATTTCCGAAAATAAACCTCCATGGGGCTCTATTTTTCAAGTATACTCCAAAGTGGGGTTCTAATTCAGGGTGGGGTTTTATTTTCAGAAATACGATATTCTTTTTATAGTAGATTCTGGTTCTATTTAAGTTTTAGAATGAATAGAGGCTTGGATTCTCTGTTGAAAATGAGAAAAACTTGATTATAGGAACTTATTTCTAGATTTTATTGTTTGATTTAAAAATTGATAGGAAATTCATAATAAATACATGATGTAAGATAATAGTAAAACAGCTGGGCTATAGCTATTACTCTCCTTTAGCTAGTGCAAAAGGTTAATCCGCGGTTGGGTGCGGACCAGCATCTTCATTAAACCGGACTGATGTGTTATCCATTACACCACCTTAGGAACTAAATAGCTATATGCTTTACATGCTTAAAATATTTCCAAATTTTTAACAGAAAGAAACGAAGAAGAAATTCTTAACCTTTTATCTCAATACTATTTGGAATATTTGAATGACACAAAGGATGGAAGAATTAAAACAAGAATATCTTTAGATATTTTAGTGTCAATTTATTCAATTAATGAACAAATGTTGACTAATTACCCAAAGCATACTATAAATAGTTGGGAATATTATGTTAATTTAATGATGATTTTTGTTGATCTAATTTTTATTGAAACTCCAATAGATATGAAATCAAAGACTATTGAATATAGAAATATTCTTTACATGGCTAAAAGGTGTTCGGATGAAGAGAAAGAGGGAGGCAAGAAAATTTTTATATTTTTAAAAGTTTGTAAAAAGAAAATTAGGATCTAGCTGGTAGGTGAATCCTCTCAATACGAGGTTGCTGGTTCCGTTTCTTCTTTGTCTTCATACCGACCTAATCATAGGACGTATTGACAAATAATTTATAAGGGCAGAATACCCAAATTCAAAAAATTCAAACGGACATAAAATCTTTAAATTTTTAGTGGGAAATGAAACATTAAATTTATTACC